TGGCAGATAATATCCCGGGTCGAAATCAAGTCTCTGGTCTAGAAGTGAACGGCTTCCAACGGCAAGAGCTCTTGGCATGCCTCAAGATTGGGCCATGGTGACTGGAAACGTTGATCCACCCCCGGAATCCCCCAGACTCAACCTCCGCCGCAGTTGCTGATAGATTAGGGAGTGACAGGCTGACGGTTCTACCAAGCTGACGTCTTGGAGTCACCGTGTTTTGCTCGTTATTGGGTTTTGGCTGGCGATGCTGGATGCCAAGCGCCAATCACTGGCTCTGGAGATTATTGACTGTACAGGGCTCGTAGAAATGGCTCCCGAGGTTTGACCAGATTAAGCTCGCCGTAGCCAGGATATTGAAAAGTGGCACGCAACTTGTCAAACGATGAGTTGGCTTGTATGTTGCGAACGGCTCCTGTCTCCTGGCCAGGGCCGAGGAGGACTGACAGATGCTCGTTGGACCACCGACAGTCCGCTACATGTATAGACTGGTGATACCGACCACTTGGAAACAAACACTTTTTTCAGCCCTGTGACGACAAGCAACTATTTTTCAAGGCCATGAAACAGGTAGTGTCTCTAGCTGTTGAGTTAGACAAAGGACAGGAAACCTCATTCCTAGGGGGGTTTTTGGATGACTATTTTAAAGTGCGGTTACCACTGCCTTTACTAGCCAGGCACTTTCTCCGTCTTCAACATCACGAAATCACTGCGTGTTCTTTGAAAATGCGTCTGGTGGCATCAAAGACCCCCCAAAGACCCCATAAAATGTCCAGACGTCTTTACAGCCTTGTGAAAATGACACAGCTGTGGTTTGTCAATTACGTTGCCATCAGGGCCTAATGGACATAGATTTAGTCGTCGAAGCAATCGACATCACGAAGATTTACCCATAAGAAAATTCGACTGCTTTTAGGTAACGTAGAATGCTTCTTTGACCGTATTACTCTCCCCGACTACCAGAGTTTACTCTAATTCTTCTTGGGACAAAACCAAATGGATTTGTCGTGTTATTTGGCGTGTTAATCTAGAACTAGGGAAAACGCCTCCTTGACTTACAGAAAGCCGGATTATCCAACTAGGTCTGCCGATGGTAGGTAAGCAGCGATAGACTTGGCCACCAAGTATCTAGCCACCAGACGGGCTGCGGAAATAGCGCATACACTAGGCGAGCTAGTTCACGTACACGGCTCTGAACCGCAACACGAAGACCATAACGAGCCGCGCCTACGCAACCAAGAATCCATGGTATGCGAATCCACTTCGCCAGAGGTTCGCGCCAGCTAAGGGTCGGTCATGAGGCGCTGTTCAAGCCGACCTGTCCAGCGTCTTCGACCTTTTTCAACAGGCCAGTCAAGTAGAGTATATTAAAGAAAAAAAGAGAGAAGAGAAGACATCCGAGAGTGTCCATGTCTCAACGATCATACAGCAGAGCCCAATTGATCCGGGGAATAACCTGTGCCCAACATGTCATTGTGGCTATTCCTCTCGGGGATCCCATTCGCCGTCCTCAAAACGGATCCGCGTACAGAAGATGGACCTAATTTGGTCACCGTCGGATGTCTCATGCAAGTCGCGAATAGACTCTGAAACATTCGTGTAGAGAGCCGGGTTCAAGCAGTTCTCAGTGCTGAGTTGCCACGTCAGTTGCGGCCTGTGAAGTGGGCAGAAAAGCAGCATCTTCCCTTACTAGGTGTATACAGAACAGTTTACCTGGTCGGTAAAAAATCTGATGGATGATACTAGGGTCGTCTCTTCCCCGTCAACCCTTTATTTCTCACCGTTAATATCCGCTCACAGACTGGATGGAATTGGAAAAAGGCATTTCTTACAACCGCTTTGGAACTGAAAAGCATCTGTCCAAATAAGGTACAGTAGCTCTTTTCCCTTGCCAGTTTTTGTGCTCATATAGCGTAACCTAGAAGCAAATAAGAATAGGGTTTGGCTGGCAATTGTCTGCGAGTCGACTGGTGTTTACTCACACCAATATTTGGGGTTTCTCCGGGGTCGTATGCCGAGACGGCAGCTGCCATTGCGGCCACAAGTAAAGTAATGAACACCATGTTAGATGGTAGGGAAAAGGGCGCGCAGTATATATCAAAGTGTAATCTGACGAGCGGTCCAAATGCCACGTCTTTGAAAGGACCGAACTTGCGTTTATATACCCTCATGGAGGGACTAGCAACCATGCTCGCTGTTCCAATTCAATTGACATGTTGACGTGTAGACTAGGCACATCGCTTGTGCCCTAACCCTGTTCTACTATATGTCGGGAGCAGAGTTTCCTACATCAGAAACCGGCCCCAGAGACGTCACTACTGTCCTGGGACAGGCGTACCGATTTAGCCAGCTTTGACACGTAACCTTTATCATTTTCTCTTTTTCGGGGGATAAATCGATATTTGGCGCATACCGCAGCTTCGTATTGAATTCTTTAAAATGGGATGCTCAAGTTCAGGCTTACTCTCATCAACCATGGAGCTCCTGGACTTTCGTGGCATTACATGCTGACACACTCCAGGGGCAATTTTTTTTTAATTACAGCGTTCTCAGTTTTGTGCCTGATGAAACTTTTGGGGGTTTCCACTGCATACGTGGCTGCAGACACGTGGCTTGAGTAGCGCCTGAGACCCTTCGAAACAAAGTCTTTTGAGTGGAAAAATATGCAGCTGCTACGGCTTAGCATTGAGTTCGTTGAACCTTATGGCTCGCCGACGTTACGGACTCACCAAAAGGCATTTTCCCGGATGGGATAGCGATCGATTGCCCCTCGCTCCGTGGGAAAATGGTAAGTGTAGATGTTGATTGCTTCTGAGAAAATGCAGCATGCAGACAAATAGAGGAATGGATTATCTTAGGTATAGATAGTCACAAATCACCGAGGCATGAGGGACTTACGAGATGCAGGTTTTCTTCCTTATAGGCAGGCTCTCTTGAATATACAGGCCACCCTCGTTGTCCAACTCACATTTTCCACTACAGCGTAGACATAGGCACTTTCTGGGGAGTTCAGAAACAAAGGCACTTTGATATAGAATAAATTCGTATCCAATGTAATACTAGCACGAGGCGAAGGGCGAATACTCCAGTGGTGTCTCCTTGTTTGCCCTGTTGCTCCAAGACGTTCCGTGATTGCTAATTTTTCCGTTTCAAGATAGTAACGTCACTAGACGTGGTTGCGCCTAGTTTGTCCCAGTGACAGATCTGCAGCAGCACCAGAATCCCGGATAATTCACAAGTTAGCTTATTTATACCGTGTTTCTCGAGTTACTTACGCCGCCAGTAGGCACCTGTGGTATTCTTGTCAGCATCTCCAATGAGATGAGTCAAGGTGTTCCTACAAAATAACCTCTCCAGTGCCACATCCTGGTCGTTCCCTATGGCAAGTTGGTTAACATTGCCTCTTGTTGCTCGACAGGTACACCTAGAGCTACACCAGCATAAGGCAGAGAATGGTTGTAGCAAGATCCATATTGATGTACGAAACGTTACTCCTGAGTAAAGGTAGAAATCTGTTGGTTGAAGAGGGGTTATTGTGTTAATCTGTGGGAAAGAATTGCAGATTTCGAGGAAGAATGGTTGTTGACTTGTGCGGTTAAGAGCCACGGCCATCGATTGTGGTGTTCGATTCACCCGGTGCAGCTAGCTGTCCGAAGCATGGCTTCATTGTGCAAATATTATATGAAACACGAGTATGTATGTCAAAGTATGAGGGCAGGATAGCAGCCAATTACACACGCATGATTTCTTCCGAACATGCACACTTACTCAGAATTCGAGACAGAAGACGAGAATTTCTTTGCCTCTTATAATCAAATGCATGTAATACATTGACTAAACCGGCGAAAATCATGGTTGAATATTCGCAGTTTCGCCTGCTGGTTAAACTCTCTGAAACAGTGTCGACCCTCAACTTGGCGTTGCGAAATGACAAGCTTGAGAACTGAGAGTATTTATGGGGACAGAAGCTACGTTGAAAACGTGATGCGCTGTAGAAGCTACGATTTGGCGTTTTGCTGTCATAAAACGAGGTTAGAAATATGCCAGACAGGTTGCTGAATCATCACGAGATACGTTCGTGAACACGTCGATATTCCGACTTCCTTTGGACATTTGCGAGTGAATGCCTTGAGATTCATCGAGTTGGCAAAGGTTCTAGACTTTGTATAATTGACTTTCCAGTCCAATTACCTTGTCGCACATTGCATACTACATGTCTGAGTATTGCATTACAACAATGACAAACAGTAACCGAATTCGTTAGGAGACGTCATCCGCTCTGGTCCACATGGAAAGAATTTGTCATTAGTACAGTTCGTACTTAGTTCGTACGAATCAATCAGATCTTTTTGCTGCAAGTGTTAGAAAAGGAAAGGGCCGGTGAGACAATAACCCGTGACATCTTTATCCTGGTCTCAGCAGCGTCCGCAGTCCGTGACCGAAAACCCAGCAGGTCTCGCTGGTTGGCTCCTGTGACTTTATGAAATAGTACTAGACATAAATATGTCTATTTGAGACACAACAGTGTACTGTGATTGCTTCTCATGTCACGGTGACACCTGGGTAGGCCCTCGCGGCCAAGTATTCCACCAGACACCTTGTAACCAAACACGGGCTGGTACACCCACCCAATTGGCTGCTGGATGAGCCGTTGATCCTTGTGCTACAGCCAATTTATGATACACTTGGTGGTCCATCGCTCCTGACCGAGGGACCGGCCGAGTTATAGTCTAGCATCGCGCAGCGACACAGCATGGCAGCTTCAGGCAGTACTTTGCACTGGTGATGGTCTACAATAGACCGAGAACTGTCAGCACAAGACTATCCCTGTGACTATGCGTCTCATACATTCAGACTAACTCTCATCCCATCTGCTAGCCTTGCTCAGCCTGTCAATTACGAACCGCCGATTGTAAGGCTTCACTCGAAACCCGTCACTACACATGAACCATGCCCGTTCCAACCAAGCATGGTACTAATCAACAGCACGCATTCTACCTTTAGCTGAACTTTCGCTTCCACCCCGGAAAAAAGGGACTTTCATCCAGAGTCTGCACAACCCAGCCCTCCTCAATCAATCCCATGTCTAGCTGTGCCTGCTCGTATTTCACCAGCGCAGGCTTGACCACATGCTCAACATGCCAAGTACCTTTATACTTCATGATGGCCTCGTCGCCTTCTATCAGTATCTTGAGGACGAGAGACGGGATGTAAGGCTCGTCGGCAAACTCGCAGAGAGGCGTGTACAAAGCCTTGAAGTTGAAAACTATGGCTCCTGAGAGGGGGAGTCGACGCAACGTCTGCCAGTCAACCCGTAAATAAATGTCCTCTTCGCAAAGAGACTCATTCTGAGACTCGCGATTACTCCAGTCGGGATGGTCGGCGGGCAAGAAGAGCGGCTGCCCAATCTCCAAGCCCCAGGAGCCTCTCTGGATAGGGCTGGAAGCCGGCATCCTGGTGAAGAAACTACGGCGAAACAGTGTCAGTGCCCGTACTCAAGCAGGCTTTAGTTTGTCAACGTACCGATCCACGCTAAATGCCAGCTTCTCCTTGTAGCCGGGCACTGCCTGGTGGACTCCGGGCAAGCCCATTCCGATCTTCTGGCCTAGCTTCCAGCCGAGAGAAGAGCAAACCACACCAGCTCGTAGGTGGTAGCGTCCGGTCTTCTCGTCTCGCATCATTACTGCAAAGTCTTCTGGCACATTTTCCAAAAGGACATGAAGCGGTTCTGCCACTGACAAGTCGTGTGTCGTAGCGAGGATGCGGTTCACAAAAATGCCATCTCCGACTCGGAAGTGCTGCGGGTATCTGATGCCGAGGTATTGCAAGGCCATCTCCATGAGCTCCTTGCACGCGAGCTCTGACCCTGGCAGAGCTTGTAATATTTCTTTGCCTTGCTGCGCATATAAATCTCTACGCTGGGTTATGCGCTCCCGGTAGGTGCTTTCCAACTCGAGCCAATAATTTTGAATCGAGCTTTTTAAAAGCTGATGTGAAGGCGGCACCCGTTAGACTCGTTAGATAACTTGTGACTACTAGATAAAATCTGATTACATACACATAGTCTGGTGATACGGCCATCTGAATGGCCTGTATGGTCTTGGTCGAGCAGTGTCGATGGTGAAGTTCTTGAGGGGCGTGGGTGCCGGAACGCCAGAAAGCTTTGCATAGTCGGGGAAGCTGCCCAAAGCCCTGACATCACCAACTGTAAAACCGCTGTATAGGTTGGTCGAAGGGTCAGCAAGGCGGTAGTCGCACTCCAACTTCAAAAGTGGCTGTTTTGACACGGATAAGGGCCCGATATTGTTTTCAGCGGCATGGATGAGCTCGGAGATGGTATTCCGCTGTGACGGCGGAAATATTTTGGAGTAGTCTGATTCCTGAGCTGTCTCCTCCTTGGCGTTATGAGCTAACCGCGTCTCGCCGTGGTTAATTGCTTTCTTTCTCCATACGTAGGCTTGGAATAGGTGGGCAAAGCCGCCCACGGCCATTGCTAGAAGAAAATACAAAAATGCCATATCGCCAACGGGCTACAGCACGCATTACTGTGTTGGTCAGCTCCTTTCTTCAACGATTCATATGGCAAGCCAAGACTACATAAGTAATTTTTGTATGTCGATGTGGAAATGCGGTAACCACGTTGTGGCGAACAAAATCTGTCCGGCTACAATAACCGAAAGTGTACATGGAGAGCGGCACGGAGGGGAGAAACGCGGGGGTAGAGCGGGAGTAAGCGAGCCAATGGCGGACCTTCAATGTTCGTGTACGCAGTGTTAATGTGGCGACTGCATGCCATGATGGCGTTTTGATATTTTCCATGTCAACGAGTGCGTGTGGAGTTCCTGAACGCGGACTGGCAAGTGACTCGACTCTCGAGCTTCGGCGTGCCACGCTTTCATCAGAGAACTGTCTCGTGGAACAACCTGAGCAGGATCGTAAAGGTTGGCAGCCGCCTGATACTGGAAGAGCTGGGCAGCTTTTAGCCATACATCTCTTAAGCGAGATACGGACATGGCGCTTGGGCCACATCTCTATTACAGACTGTGACGCTCCATGACGATGATGATACTACACGCTTGTGGGAGGGGCAGTGTGACATTTGGTGTGAGAGGGATAAAAGCAACATGCAATGCCGGGGGTTCGTGCACTTTTGGTAGTGTAGCTTGTAACATTTGGCATCAGGAGAGTGATGGCAGGGTGACCATAAAATATGCTTGGTCTCGTTTAACCCTAACCCTGACTCGTCATGTCCCACGAGTGGGAGTGCATATTTATTCTCATGTACTCTCAGTCATCCACAGCCCATGTGCATCCAGCACTCGCCGTAGAGCGCAGAGATGATAGATAATTTACGCTCAAATTCACCGACTTCGCAATTCCAACGCCATTCATCCGTAGAATGAACGTCGATGCAATGCTGTTACTTGCCAAACGGGTGACAGGGCCGTCTCTGCATTTCAATTCTCGAAGTTCAATCATTACGTACGATAGGTATCTCTGACACTCTTGGGACTATGAGCTCACGGTGCCGGGCTCCCCCTCGTTAGCATATTGTGAGCGGCAGCCCTGACCGCCCCCATGGCGACCTTGAACAAGCCAGGCCCAATGCTCACTCTGGCAACGCCCATATCTACCAATTCCTTGGTAGTCTTGATGCCGGGATACGCGGAAAATGACGCGGCGACCCGACCATCCAACTCCTTCACCAATATCTCCAAATGATGTTTCTTCATCCCTCCTCGCGGCCCACCCCAGTAAAACACCGTCGTGGCACCCAGCTCCAAATACGCCTTACCCCTCTGAACCGCCTCCTTGAGCCTTGTCTCATCGTCTAGGCTCTCGTCTTCCAAGCAAAACACATCACATCGAGCGTTAAGCACAAAGTCTGGCGTTCCAGCAGCCTCGGCGGCTCGAAGCGCAGTCTTGAGCCTCTGAACCTGCTCGTCGATGGGGTACAAGCCCTTGTCGAACAAAGGAGAGGGGATGGAATCTTCAATGTTAGCACCGGCGATGCCAGCTTTTACAGCGTCCGTGACGACTTCTGAGATGCGCAAACCATAGCCGTCCCTGAGGTCAGCGCTAAGTGGGAGACCGGCCTTCGCGGCGAAGGGCGCAATTCGCTTGATGGATTCGAGGGTTTGCTCGGCTGTGAGGTCTTCATCCAGCTGTCCGTTGACGGCAGCTATGGCGAACGATGTAGTGGCCACACCTTGGACGATCTTGGATGACGGGGTGTTGAGGGAAGTGATGGCATTGAGAGAGGCAACGTCCCAAATGTTGGCGAAGATGATGGGTTTGAAGGGGACATGGAGGGCCTTGAGGGCCTTGGCGGACTCGTTAGCCATGGTTTCGACGGGGTTTGGAGTTAGATGACGAGGGCCCAAATATTGGAGAAGCGGGCCAAAGGGCAGATTGAGCTTTATATATTATCTCTTGAGGTTGTGGTACGAGTTAACCGGTCAAAGTCCCCAGGCATGTGACGTTATGCTAAGGAGTTGATGCTTACCACTGACCAGAGCTTGAAGCAGTCTGTTTGTGGCCGGGGTGCTGAGTCGAGGCTTGGGGCCTTGGTCACAATGGCCCAATCCGTGTCCTACGTTGAAACTCAAAATTGCCCCACGGAGCATGATTCCGGGGACGCCCTGGCGGTTTTCTCTTGACGTGTAAATCACGCAGCCGTGAATTCTGGCGGAATGACTAATCGCTTCGGTTTGGTGCGGGGGATAGATATATCATTTTAGCCTGATAATAATAGGCAGCATTTAGGGCGGGTCGCACTCTATCTGTGAACCGGTGGGAGGATTTGTGCTTGGTTGTCTCACGAAACCGGGTGGGAGTTCATGTTGATTGAGCGGCGTAGGCGCCAATATGTATCGTAGCAGGAGACAGGCCACCGACACCGATGGATAGTTGCACTGCCGCAAACTTCCCCTTCCCTTGTCCGGGCCTTTATTGGGATATCGTTCCGTTTCCGTTTCTTTTTCCGTACAGTGGGCCTTGAACTGATCACATCTTTTCGGCCGATTGTGGACGTTCGATGGAGACATTTTCGGCCATATGCTTTGTAAAACATTCAGCCTTGGTCCCACCGCTCATACAGATGGGACGATAACTTACTTACCAAGCGGTTTGTTCTTGGCAAACTGTGCAGTGGCAATGGAGAGAAGTCGATCAATCATTGTGCAAGTCTTGGCGTTTGCAAGCAAGACTGGGTTCGTCAGGGAATGCTCATCGTCGATGCCAGCACAGAAGTGCGGCCAAATGTTGCTGTCTCAACCCTAACCGCCCCAGGGCGAGATGAAGGTGCTGAGCAACGACGTGACTGATACCATCGGTTCTTTGCAGTATGTAATGCAAAGGAAAGAACGCAGGTGACGGCAGACGCATCAATACTGCTCCAGCGTGAGACATACAGTGCATTTTACACTTTGTACACACCCCGCACTGTGGGCATGAGATCGCGTCGTCCAAGGTTCAAAGACATGAAGAACAAGCCTTGTTTATTCCCCATGTGTGATCGTTAGACTCTAAAAGATTACCGTTGACATGTCATTGTTCTCATCAACACGGCGCCTCGAACCATATAGCTATCTGCATCCGCAATCACAAACACCGTGCAAATCATACTCCGATGTCGGTGCCCTTTGTGACATCTACCTTTCAGCATACAGCAAGGAAATCTTCAGCCGAAAAATCTTCCTCTTACACTTCGAGACCAGTCGCGCGTACTGGTATTGAGCATTCGCCGAGGAGCTCCAAGAACCGGATCCCACGTTCATGGTCGCCATCGATTCTGTCTCACGTACACCTGCCAAGATCCTCGGCTACGTCAAATGGGTGAGACCAAACTCAACAGCGCACGATTACTCCGAAGATTGGTATCCGGAAGACGGGCTGCCAGATGTCGGCCGTGAGCATTATACAAAGTTGTTCCAAGGGCATCAAAGAACCATGGACGGACGAGTTACACACATTCAAAACCGACTCCCTTTCCAGAGTGGAGGAAATATAGGCAACCGACAGGATTCTGGGTGAAGGCATGTCTGGAAGTGCGCGGCTGGAGATCCGACAGAAATCAGCGGCAACATTGGCACCAGACTCGCCATCTCAGGTTCGCGCTATCAAGGCAATTCGAAAGCGCACCTTGAGCGAGAATTGGAATTTTCATCGAGAGTTGGATCTTGCCCTAAGGTTCTCTACTCCTATCGTACGTTCCCTTCTTCTCATTTTAAAATTTAGAGCTCATGAACTGGCCAGTACGCCGACACTTAGACAAGTGCCTTGTGTCCTTATGGCATTGAGGTAGCTGACACGAAAACGAACCCCAGCCGAGGGTTCTGTTGTGTTGCCCAGATGACTAGTGAAATGGACTGGGAGAATACTGACGAGCATTGGGCTGAGGACTCTTGGCAGGGGCGGATTGATTCCAACAATACCAATACCAACCAGATGATGATGCTGACCCCGGCTCAAAGGAGATTCACGTCGTGTGCCCGTCAAGGCGAGCACTCCGGGATTTCGAGCGATTGCATGCTACGATGGAACCGGGATATCCGCCTCATCAGCCTATGAACTCTTGCAGGCTTTCACGTCTCGATAGCCCCTGTGAAGTCAAGGTGTAGCATGGTTGGTTTTTGCACCAAAAGGACGAGCAGCACAACGACGTAAATAGTGTTAGAAATCAATCATGTTCTTGATGCAGCATCTGCTACATGAGACCCAGCATATTCCAGGACTACACAGTCCAAAATCTCCTTCCATTCGGTCGGTCCTCTGAATCCTTCCTCCATCGACAACGGTTTGCAGCGAACGGTGTGACGATTGCACGCTCATGAATAGCGAGCTAGCATAGTTTTTTCCTTCGAGGGCTCAACGCTATGCACAATCGCTCTGCGCGGTGTAAAGACTGCAACTGTCAGAACACTTCACTTGCGCAATTTACGCGTCAACCAGCCGTGGAATCACATGCTCATTTCTACAGCCTTTTGAATCATCCGCTTCACAAAACGGATTCACTCCTGCATTTCGCCCCTCGTCGGCATGTCGAGAGAAGCCACGTCACTGGAAGACTGTCAGGTCTCCTCAGTAGATGCGAGCTTAAACCCCTGACTCTGCAACAGCAGACACTTCGATGGACGGCAAGCTCACTTCGTTAGCGACGCGAATGAGAACGGACCCCATCCCACGAGCCTTGCCCCAACCGCTATGCGCCTCGCGAATATCATCCAACCCCCAGACCTGCTTGATAGGAACCTTGAGCTCGCCTTGCTGTACCAACTGCATAAGTCGGGCCAGGTTCTCGGTAAAGTCCTTGTCTTTGCTAATGTCGTAAAACCTCGTCGACTTGTTGCTCCACACCGCAGCATTGCGCATCAACAGCTTGACGACACTCGGGACCGGTGATTCAAATTTGCCCTTGTCCTCGCCGAGATACGGCAGATTTGCCCCGTATCCAACCAGTCGAGCCGGCTCATGGTGGCACAGAATAGAGTACGACCGGTCGAAGCTTTCAAAACCGAGGGCATCAAAGACCACATGGGCACCGCCCAGGTTCTGCATCTCCTTGATCCACTTTTGGTCTTTATATGAGAAGGGCACAGCACCCATCCTCTTGAGGTCCTCGTGGTTTCTTTCCGATGATGTGCCGTAGACTGCGGCTCCTTGCAATTGCGACAGAGACATGATGGCTTGGCCTACGGCGCCGCTTAGACCGTGGACAAAGACGCGCTGCTTCTCGGCCACCCTGGCCGTGTTGAAGACCATGGCGTACGCGGTTGCCCAGTCGAGAACCAGGGCGCAGGCAACTTGCGAGTCGATGTCGGCGGGGACGGGTATCAGTTTGCCTTGCGGGATGTTGACCAGCTCGGACTGGGAGCCGTACACCGTCAGCGCGGCAACCCGGTCGCCGACCTGGAACTTGGTGCACGCGGAGCCGTTGGCCCTGACGCGGCCGACGAAGCAGTATCCCGGTGTAAGGGGTGCGGAGGGCTGCCTGGGATACCGGCCCAGGCGCATGTGGATGTCTGCTCCGGAGAAGCCGCTGTAGATGACGCCAACTTGGACTTCATTTTGCAACGGGGGCGGTATTGGTTCCGTGATAATGTCGATGTTGGAGACGTCGCCGAAGGCAGATATGACTGCCTTTTTTGTTGTTGGCTGCGTATCATTCGCCATTCTTTGCTGACGCTCCGGCTGCCCTTTTCACAATGTTGAGTGGCGATGGTTGGTATTGACGACGTTTACTTTGTAATTCCCGTCTGCAATGGTTTGTCGGACTGACATCAAACTCGCGGTTGACGGATTCTGATGAGGATGAACGAATGACGTTGAAACCGTGGCGGTCTACGTACTTTATCGTCGTCAGCCCCAAAGATGCCGTTCAAGGCTGGCACACTCCGGCCTGGTGGTTGGCCCGATGTGCGCCACGCGGCTGAATCTTGAACTGCGAGCACCGCCACGATCGGTGGTGATGGCAGCCTTGTTTTACTGGGGTGCGAATGTAGGGCTGAACGAGTAGGCATGCCGAGTCGTGCAGGATAATGACGCTAATGTCGATTGGTTTTTGGATTCCAGGTCATCAAGGCTGTTGCTGTTTGACTGGCATGAGCGTAGGCTGGCCGAGCTAGGTTTCGCAACATGATTATTTCTCGTGCAGTCAATTGCCGGGTGTATCTCTTCTTGGACAAGATTGAAACGATTCCCAGAGATGCTCCCTCTAACATTGAATTCCCGGTCCCACAGCACGGCACATCTCCACATAACGCCGGCGTCTCCGGACGCCCGAATTGCCCAGTTAGGCAAGAAAATGGCCTCGGTGGCGGAAAGGGCTTAGTTTGCACGAAGCCAAGGTTTTTGCGGTGGGCGATATCCCGCCAAGTTGTATCGTGAGTGGCTGTATTTGGTTCTTTTTGACAGTTGGATGGCGGAATGCTCGCGTGACGAACTCCCTCCTTTTGAGCTACGGGTGGAGAAAGTAGCAGTACATACCATTCGGGGAGTTGAAGTTATCCGTTCGGTGCCTGATCCGAGGATACTGAAGTCATGGTTGCTGCGCTGTTTCGCCGGTTTGCGGCGTTGTTTTGGTCGTGGCAACTCAGACATTGGCGAAAACGGCTGTGCGCAGGGGGACTGGCCCGCATGAAATGTCAAGGTCCAGTCAAAGGAAACGTTGTGTGAAGAATACAGATGGCTTACCTGCAAAGCCTGAGATGCATCATGTTTTTTTTTTTTTTCCAGTTTATGCAGAAGTGCATGCAGCACCCATCGACCAATCAAACAGCGGCGTTGACGGTCTCGAAGGAGGCTTCGCGTGGCGATTGCGTCACCACCGACACACCGGACAGTGCAACGCCGGCATTGTGGGTCAGCAGCCACTAATCAAGCCTGGTGGCATGCGTCGCTCCTTCCCAGCCGCTAAATCAGGGCAAGACTCGCAAGGTACTGGTACAAGAACCCAAGGTCCTGACGACTCAAGTGCTCATACAAAAGCTATTCCCGCCGCCGCCAAGGTCCCGAGGCTGAGCTGCACACCTTATCATCCCTTTTCTCCTTTGTTTCACCTCCCATTCCAATACTTGTCAACAAAGCGACTCTGCATCAGGCTTTTTTTTTCTAATCGCTTACGACTACAGATTCATTTCCTTTTCCACTTTGTCCCAACGACAGAACAGACTCCGTCTCTCTTTTACTGCAGCCAAGTTCCAAGACGACGCACCATCGATGAAGCCTCTCTGTTGACCGAAAAGCCATCCCGCACCAACAAAACCTAAGCGCATCGCAATACTTCACAATGGCCGCCGCAGACGCCACGGCAACGTCCAAGCTGGCCTCTTATTTCGCCCGGCTCAACCCAGTTCCAGCCTTCCCGGAGTACACTGGCCCATACAAGGTCGGCACTGTCGATGTCGAAATCCCAGTAAAAGATTTGCACTCCCCAAGCCCTGCGCCCGCCAACGCCGTCGATATTCCAACGGTTCAGTTCCGGGTCTTCTATCCTGCTGTTCCCGAGTCCAACGAGAAGCGTATTACGTGGCTACCAAACCCCCAGAGGCATCATGTTTCTGCATACACCAAGTTTGTTGGCGTTGGATCAACCTTGGCAGACATCCTCTCGTATGCGCCAATGTCTCCTTTCCTCGGCCAATAGTGACAACGTTTGCTGACAGGTGCTACAGATTCTTGCCTCGACATCTTCACTACACAACCATACCCGTCCACAAGAATGCTGAAGCTGCCGATTCCGAAACGAAGCGATGGCCGACAATGGTCTTCTCCCACGGACTGGGCGGAGGACGAAATTCGTATTCTTACATTGCTGGGTCGCTGGCATCCCACGGCGTAGTCGTCTTCTGCCCCGAACATCGCGATGGTAGCGCTGTTGTCTCCTTCATTAGACTAGCCGGCTCGTCAAGCCGCTTCTTCTCCTCGGCCGCTCGCCGCATTGTGCCATATAATCGAATATCGCACCAAGTCACACCGGAAGTCTACGAGGCCCGCGAGGACCAGCTGCGCGTTCGACTGTGGGAACTTGGCCTAATCCATGACGCCATGCTTGCGATTGACGAGGGTAGGGAGTTCACCAACATGAATCTGACCACGCCAACGCTGAAACAGTTCATCGGGCGCCTCGATGTTCATGAACCCGGTCGCATCACTTTTGGTGGACATAGTTTTGGTGCCGCCACGGTCCACCAATTTCTAAAATGCAACTATTATGCCGACGTGCCCGAGGTTGCTAATATGAAGAAGCCCCTCTTCACGCCTGCCAAGGATAGTAGCATCCGGAAGCAGATTACAGAGAAAAACGTCACAATGCTTCTTGACATGTGGTGCTTGCCTCTACTTGGACCTAATTCAAAGCCCCTTTACGACCTCCCCTTGCCTGTATACGCCGACGTGCCCTCTGCACCTGGCGGCACAGCTCTCCTTGCTGTCGAGTCGGAGGCCTTCCACAACTGGACCGAGCACCTGCACGTCAAGGCCAAGCTCTTGTCCCCGGATCCAACCTCCAAAACTGTTACGCCACAATTATTCGAACGCCCTAGCGGCATAAAGCTGCCAGAACCCAACTTCTTTTACGTCGTCAACTCGGCACATCTCAGCCAATCCGACTTTGGTATTCTTTTCCCCTGGTTGACCAAGAAAATCTTTGATGCCCAACAACCGGAGCGCGCACTACGCTTAAATCTCCGCGCTCAACTACAGCTGTTCCGGGCGAATGGTATTCCTGTTGCTCGCACGTATGCGGGTGACCTTGTCGATGGCGCCCATGTGGACAAGTTGAATGCCAAGAAGGACGGCCAGATGGCCTCAACCGAGGAAGGGATAGATGACGACCAGGCTATATTCGACAGGAGTGGCAACGATGGCGTTGACCACTGGAAATGGATCGACTTGATTGGGCTGGGTGATTTCGTCGGTGAGAATTTCGGCAAAACGGTAGAAGAGAAACTGGAAGAGGGGGAGAAGCAGATGCAGGGTGAGATGGAACCGAGCGAGAATGAAGCTGTTCAGCCCTTGGTAAAGACTTTGAGCGCGGCTGCATGAGGATTGACTTGTCGATACCCGTTGTATGTGCGTTTTTTTTTTATGTGTGTAGCATTGCATGGGTGGGCGTTGGACACGAGCATAGCATACTTGTTGGGAAAACGGAAAAGTTGCCACTACCTCTGTTTTGAACCCTTGTCTTGGTCACAACATGTTGCACGACAACCTTGGATATGTCACGTCGTGCTTCGTAGCAGAGATGCACTTCCATGACGCCCGTCAAGACACTGACATGCCTGTTGTCCTCGCGAATCCCCCATCTTGCTCGGATTTGATGTTGACAAACTCCAGCAGAACTAGCACTCCCCTGAACATGACCTACGCTGCAATGTGACGAGCGGAAACCCTTGCCAACACCAGCTGCCGTCATCTCATCTCTGCTCCTCGGCCACTTCGATATAATGGCGCCGTTGGTGCATCCAAGAAAGCTGTCGCGGACGGCATGAATAAAATGTGGATACAGATCCTCTTCATTGCAAAATCTGGCAGTGTCCTTTCATTCACATGTTTCTTTACATGGACGGACAAGGTTGAGGAGCCAGGCCTAGAACTTGACTCGGCGTTGGAGGACAATAGACGGGGCGAGGGAGGCGAGGACTCGGGTTGAACAGGCGCCGAATCCACACGATTCGAGAGCCAAGGTACGCCACTCTTGTGCCAGCTGGCCTTTGTGTGGTGGAGACAAAGGCCATGGTGTGTTGGTACTGTGGCCGAATTCTCGAAACACCAAAACACCACATGTACCTGTTGTGAGCATGAAGCACGAACAAACAGCATCAAAGCCACGCGGTCCATCGGTGGGTCAGGCTACCACGTCAGGGCCGGTGAGTTCCCAGACATGTATATGCATGAGTACAACCTTGGGCCGTGACATTTATTTCTTGTCCGGTGTCTGGGCGAACATGAGGGTTTCCCAAGTGTTGATGGCCTGTTCAGTATGTGGTTGGTTCCCCTTGTCGGCCGTATAAGTCAGCTTCACCCGCCTCAGAGTTGCGCACCAACTCACGACCTTTTTCAGACATGCTACTTGGTTTTTTCCGTGCGTCTCTTCTCCCAGCGCTACATTCTGAAGAGCTTTACTTGCACCTTGCCCCCTTCCGCCATACCGCAGTTCGGCAAGAGCGGCGTCGGGTTCTTGGATCGTCGTCGTCTCGCCTTGCGGTCCTTTGAGGCCGATGGCGACGCTGAAAATGCCGGCCTACTCTTCTTCCCTTGTCCGGCTCAGAGACACGCCTCAGGATCAAGCCGACACCTCGGTCAAAGACAACCCCACCCCTACCAAGGACGCCTTTAGCTTTACCAAGGACAACGCCGCCTCTACGAAATACGGAGCAAGAAGCCAGGGAAGAGAGGGCAATGACGCCGGGCCTGTAGGCAACGAGCCGGAAATCAAGACCCTCTACGTCGTAAATGAATCGGGGCACGAATTTTGGTATGAGCAGAGGCCCGAGGGTCTTTCTCTGGTGGACGACTGCAAGGACATGGAGAGATTTGCCGTCATCCATCGAAGACGTACGTTGAACAGTGCACTCGTTGGCCGATGCAACTCACATGGCGACTAATCTTCATTTTTCTGGCAGGCCTTTGCAAAGTGGCAGATTCAGATTCACCAGATGTCATCAAAAGTCACAGCATCGTGATCCACTCGCCGTATCTGAAGAACTCTTTGGTACCAGTGTTTCAAGACTGTCCCGAAATCGATGTCGCATCCTCGCCATTACAGCTAATGGCTCCGTTCAATTTCTTCGTCCAGCGATGGGGGGAATTTGAAGCTGCTAGGGATAAAGAGGCGCAGCACCCCGAGGCCAAAGCGCACATGGATCTCCTCTACGACATGATGAAGGGGGAGCTGAAGGATCATCTGGCAACCCGAGAACGCTGCTTGCGAAGTGGAATGGTTGCATACGAGGACCTGTGGACTATTTTCCCCCCTGGTGGTTGTGTCTTGTGTCACGACAATGATAACGGTCTCATCGATGATGACGAGCCTAGGTATTCTCATCGACTTACAGCGTTTCAGGTTCTAAAGGGGTCATATGCAGAAACCGAGGACGGCGAGAAACGTTGTTATGTTCTTGATTGCATGTTTATCGGCATGTATCCCCACATGGCTTGGTACCAGACCGAGATCGAAATCCCCCGATTTCCGGCGGACCAAAGTATCTACTCGCTGCCCGTGCGTCCTCTTGAGCTGTGCAGACATCGAAAGGAGCTTGAAGATGGTCTGTACGAGAGGGGCCGCAAGTTTATGAAGCTTGCAAAGGCCCGGGGCCCCATTCCCTACCACGGAGAGTACAATGGAACGGCCATTGAGCCTTCCACGGGAGGCAAAGTAGAGTTCAAGGGCCGCTTCATAATGGATGCGTCGGTTTGGGAGACTTGCTACCCCGAAGAACACCAGTTGCCACAGAGTGCGAAGAAAGTCTCCGAGAAAAAAGAACATCTCATCTTCACACTTCCCTATCTCCCTGGCTACCTTCTAGAAACAAATACCTCAGGCTGTACCTCGGGCTGGTTGTTCTTCTACGTCGACCTTGTCCGCCAAGCGCAGCCCGATGCAGAGGCATTGGAGTCGCCCACGTCTATTCAGAGCTGTGCTTCAGTGTGGTTGTGGGGAGCTACAATTTGGCGGGCTGATATATAGTACGGTTATATTCTTTTCATTATATTTTTACACTTGTTTAAATACTAGATATAACAAAGACGTGATGAGTCACTATTCGGCTAGCGCGTCTGACGCATCGTGATGCGCTCATAGTGTGTTGCGTGGTGAGTCACGGTTCCCTAACCTAGGTACGGCCAAAATACAGCGTTACTAGATGCCCTCTATCTAGCTCTTTTTTTGATTATTTTTTTCTTACATAATTTAATAAAAGAAAGATTTAATAATTCTATTAAATTGAATTATAAACAAATTAGTTAAATAAAAGGGATTTAATATATTTTAATTCTGTTTATATTATCTTTTTATAATTATTATATTGTTGTGTCTTGTGTCACGACAATGATAACGGTCTCATCGATGATGACGAGCCTAGGTATTCTCATCGACTTACAGCGTTTCAGGTTCTAAAGGGGTCATATGCAGAAACCGAGGACGGCGAGAAACGTTGTTATGTTCTTGATTGCATGTTTATCGGCATGTATCCCCACATGGCTTGGTACCAGACCGAGATCGAAATCCCCCGATTTCCGGCGGACCAAAGTATCTACTCGCTGCCCGTGCGTCCTCTTGAGCTGTGCAGACATCGAAAGGAGCTTGAAGATGGTCTGTACGAGAGGGGCCGCAAGTTTATGAAGCTTGCAAAGGCCCGGGGCCCCATTCCCTACCACGGAGAGTACAATGGAACGGCCATTGAGCCTTCCACGGGAGGCAAAGTAGAGTTCAAGGGCCGCTTCATAATGGATGCGTCGGTTTGGGAGACTTGCTACCCCGAAGAACACCAGTTGCCACAGAGTGCGAAGAAAGTCTCCGAGAAAAAAGAACATCTCATCTTCACACTTCCCTATCTCCCTGGCTACCTTCTAGAAACAAATACCTCAGGCTGTACCTCGGGCTGGTTGTTCTTCTACGTCGACCTTGTCCGCCAAGCGCAGCCCGATGCAGAGGCATTGGAGTCGCCCACGTCTATTCAGAGCTGTGCTTCAGTGTGGTTGTGGGGAGCTACAATTTGGCGGGCTGATATATAGTACGGTTATATTCTTTTCATTATATTTTTACACTTGTTTAAATACTAGATATAACAAAGACGTGATGAGTCACTATTCGGCTAGCGCGTCTGACGCATCGTGATGCGCTCATAGTGTGTTGCGTGGTGAGTCACGGTTCCCTAACCTAGGTACGGCCAAAATACAGCGTTACTAGATGCCCTCTATCTAGCTCTTTTTTTGATTATTTTTTTCTTACATAATTTAATAAAAGAAAGATTTAATAATTCTATTAAATTGAATTATAAACAAATTAGTTAAATAAAAGGGATTTAATATATTTTAATTCTGTTTATATTATCTTTTTATAATTATTATATTAATTAAATTAATAATTATATATATAGCTTTCTTGGTATATGAAAATACAGCTCCAATTAGATGTACCAATTGGAGTGGAGTCGGTGATCCTGCCATGACTGCACGTACCAGCATCCAGATTTTCCTTAGATGCCTGTAGGAGTGCATCACGGCCAGGCCATACGTCTAGTCGGCGGACGTGAAAGGCCTGGGTGCTTATCAAGCGCAGCGACGAGTTTCTCAAGAGGCGGACAATAGATATCACTCAGACGTGGGCACTCAGGTTTACTTTCCACCATTGGGTCGAGGACTTCAAGGACGTGATATTCTTCAGCAGCGATCGCATTCAACATTTGGAATGTGACAAGGGCTCATTAGAGGGCTTGAAGCAAAAGGGCTCAATCCAATGAAAATCTTGTAGGATGCCAAAAGTCCTTGGTTTCCCCAAGCCGTGAGGCGAGGGGGAACCATCTTATACATGAAAGGAACGGCCTGTGCCTAGTGTGCCCCATAGTTCTCGTGATCTTCTTGTGTAACAAAGGGCTCTGATCCTCGCTTGACCTGATCCCTGTGAAGTGGAACCAGACTTTGATGGCAAGATTTCGCTCCAGGTCAACTTGCCCGTTCACGGACCGGAACAGAGGGCGCAGTTACTGTCATCTTTGTAGGAGAGCGCGTCCTACCGTCTCATGGGAGATGAGTTGGAGCAGCTGAGCCGTATGAAACTGAACGGGAAGCAGATTGAGAAAACGATGAAATTATGGATTCAGTTGGACGTGCAAGAACTGATGGATGTGGTGGCTCGTGATTCAAAACTTGTTTCCGCTTGTGTGTCTTTGTGCCATATGCCTTCTTTGCTCTCACCTTCTAAGCCAGGCGGACACGCCACAAGAAGCATGATGAAAACAATGAATGCTTAAGGATCATTATCACAATTGATTCGTGGGCGACGAGCTTAACTGCTTCTCTACGAGCATATTAAACATATGGCCATGATGACTTCCTGGTCATCGTGCATTTGAACCCAGAAAGTTATCCCAAAATCAGCACTCCAACTGCGGAACGGCCATGCAAGGGCATGTAAGAGAGCCGGCGCCAGAGAATGAAGTAAGCCATTCCAAGACTCTCATGAAGAATTGCTTAACATTAACCCATGGTCGTCACACAGCGGCCCGCAGCGGATTCGCTCCGGTCGACGCCTCATAACGAAAGGTCAGAATCATCAAGCCTCGTCATGTTGCGCCTTGGCCGACGAATCCAACCTGAGCATGGGCATCAGCTCGGTCCAACATTATTAGGCGCAGCCCGTTGTAGAATGAAAATCAGAAATTGCTCCTCACTTCCAGACAAACCAACGGCTGACTCGAGCCTGAGTCGCGTATACTGTCCGATGCGTTAATGGACATGAGCCTACGATTGAACGGCTTCCAAAGCTGGCTGTATCTCAAACATGAAGCACTGATTCGGCACAGGCCAAGTAGTCAGCACTATCCAGGTGTCATGCCGCTCCTTTCCCCAGCTCTTGTCATGTGTCGCAACCTGATCTGCGGCAAACCCCAATTCATGTTTCTATTTGCGTCCGATCAGCGCAGGAACACCCATGCCGTGGCGAGAACTTCATCCACACTTGGCGCCTCGCGCTCAGCTGTCCAGGAGATTAGCAGCTTCAGCGCCGCTCAACAGAAGTAATGCGTTATGGTGGGACTCGAGAATCTCCAAGATGGGTGCGATCGTCCGATTCCCGATACTGGGGAGGGTAATGATTTGCAGGGCAAGCTTCAGCTGCTTATGAAGTGCCCGGTTCCTATTTTAGGATGCAGGGCGATATTAGGCACACTGTGACGACGTTTGGCATCGAGATAGTATCGTTGACTTGGTTTCGTCGGCATTGCGTTACACGGCCAGCAATGAAACTCTCATTGGATGCTCAGTAGAGTGGTATTCTCTTCGAGACTTGAGCAGCGCAACCCAGATTCAACAAGAAAAATCCCCGTCCTTCCTGTTCCTTTTTTTTTATTAAGTTCTTGGGAAAAAAAAATGATCGTGCAAGCATTATGCAAGCATTACATCTGCTAACACGATGTGTTGGCCGTACCTAGGCCAGGAACCGCAACTGATGACACAAAACACCATATACGCATCGCGATGCGTCAGACACTACCTTCCTGTTCCTTTGTCCGGTTACCCATCATATTGCTAGACAACCAGTCGGACAATTACGTCATTTACATGCATTGCTGACCATCTGATTCGCAATGCCCTCAACCCTGCACAACGCCACCAGTCACCCCAACCTGGTCATGATTCAGCTACGGCTGATCTCAACTGGATATAATACACACCAATCATGTATAGAATTCTTACTTTTTCATATCCCCGCCATTGATCAAGTTGTCCAGATAGCCAAGGATATAAAAGAGCTACTCCTCACACGTGTCCCCAGACCAAGCATCTCCAGACTCAACTTTGTCCACCGCAAACATGAAGACCTCAGGAGCAATCTCGCTTGGTTTCGCCGCCCTCGTCAGCTCAGCTGCAGCCTCCCCCGTGGAACTCGAGCAGCGCGCCGCCACCGTCAAGGGCTTCGACATCTCGGGCTACCAGCCCAACGTCGACTTCCACAAGGCCTATGCCGACGGCGCTCGTTTTGTCATCATCAAGGTAACGTCTCCCCAGCACACCCAAACTCTTCATCACGACATTCTAACGAGCGTCTAGGCCACCGAGGGAACTACCTACACCGACAAGACCTTCTCCAAGCACTACGCGGGCGCAACCGAGGCCAAGCTCGTCCGTGGCGCCTACCACTTCGCCCACCCCGGGGAGAACCACGCCTCCGCCGAGGCCGACTTCTTCGTCAAGAACGGCGGCGGCTGGTCCAAGGACGGCATCACCCTGCCCGGCATGGTCGATCTGGAATCCGAAAAGGGCCACCCCCCGTGCTGGGGATTGTCGCATTCCGCAATGGTCGCTTGGATCAGGGACTTTGCTGACACTTACCACAAGAAAACTACCCGATGGCCCATGCTGTACACCAACCCGTCGTGGTGGTCCGCCTGTACCGGAAACACGCAGGCTTTCAAGGATACCTGCCCTCTGGTTCTGGCGCGCTACGCCAGCTCGCCGGGTACCATTCCTGGGGGCTGGCCTGCCCAGACTATTTGGCAGAATAGCAATAAGAGCCCGTGGGGTGGCGACTCTGACTTCTTTAATGGCGATTTGGCCCAGTTGAAGAAGCTTGCTTCTGGTTAAGGGGGTTTTGTGTCGGTTGCATGGATTACTTTTCTACGTCGGATTTAAAGGCGGTTTAAGCTCAACGCAAATACATTGTGTACGTGGTTTGTTTTACAAAATCTGATAACTGGGAATAAAAAATCAGACTGTCTATTGCAACTTGTGACGACTTTTTCCAAGCTTGGCATGTAATATCCCAATCAGCCACACGTCATGGCAGATCGCGGCAGCGCAAAGAGATAAATGCCTACCCGTCAGTAGAGCAAAGTATACCTACGAAGCTATGATTTTATGCTTTCATACAAGAGGAGGATATTCGTACGTTCCTACCTGTGCCAAAATCATCTCGCTTGACAACACTGAGCCCTCCCTTACGCAGCTTATTTGTCGTTTTCCTATCCTCCTGCCGCTCACAGATAGCCCGGATGCACGAGATTGTCAAAACAACCAATATTATGCTCAGGAGGATGTGTCAAAGGTCTCTGGGGTCTCAAAATACACGGCGAAAACATCTGCCGGCCCAAGATATACACACAAATACATACTGTCATCCCCAGCGCCATGACTTTACTCAAACGCATCCATCACTCATTAATCATTCACTTTACTAGTTTCTCGAAAAGTGGTTTTATTAGAACTTTCGTTGCCGTGCCGCTCAAACATTTTCTACCCGTTTTGGGCTTTGCCGTTGCTGCGGCCGCTTGCTCCTTGTCCGACAGGCTACCGACGAATATTCTGCTAGTAGTCGTATAGACTAGAGAGAATGGCCGGACTTCCAGCCATGGGCCACCAGCTTCTCTCAGTACTTTTTATGCAATTTTGATGAATTTGTCCATTCCTTTGGGGGCAACAAGCCCGGCAAAGCCGCCGTCACGCCCGAGGAGTTCCCGTACATCACAAATTCATAGCCGACTAGGGCAAAGCGGTCAACTCTGCTGCCAGAGCTGAGGCCAACAGGGGAAGCCTCATGATATACAAGATTCAAGAGCTTCGAAAAGCACACGTCAACGAACGGCCAGCTACAAGAGCCCCTTGTCAAGGAACTCAGACCGCTTGCTGACTACACGCCTACCACAAGGAGACTCAGAACATGGCCGGGGTCAAAGAGATAGGGGAGTTGGACCGCACTGATGTTAGCATGACGTTCAATGAGGCGCTCACGGAGAATCCTTGGGTGGCCCAAGGGGTTGTTTCGAGACGGGTATAAAGAGACCATCGCGGGTAACCACCAGGAAAAACTCAAGGAGCTTGGCGGCTCTGTAAAAAAGACGGGACCCAATTCCGGGCTGCAAAGGTGACCTATGACGGCTGCCGAAATGATATCCCACGTCCCACATTCCGTGTCCTCAATGAGTGCGCAGATAAGTGAGCCCGCCGCCTTGAGCAAGACGAGGTGAAACCGGCTGCTACGCCACCCAGCACTACCTGGGCAGTGGAGAAGCGGAAAGTTATTGCACAGGGCTTGCGAGATGAGGCTATATGGTGAGTTTTCCCAATATTTCGTCGTTCAACACCTGGGGTGGGCTGCAAATACTGTTGTAAACATCACCCAGCATGTCAAGCCGGTCTGGCAGAAAAGACTGTTCGGTAACATGAAGCCCGTATCTTCCAACGTCTGCTACCAGTATCCGGAATCTTGATCTTTTGGTTTCCTAGCTAGATGAAAAAAAATCAAGCCTAAAAAAATCCCCATACAAGACGCAAGAGCCCGTCATTTCAAGCGGACATGTATTACTTGTGAACTTTGTCTATTTACGCGCGACTCCGACGCGTTCCCACATACATAGTCTAGCATCCTAATCTTAACGAAGCGACTCGATCCGTCCTCGCGGATCCAGTCAAAGTCGTTCTGCAGGCGAAGGGAACCTTGGACTACGAACGCCGCAACCCACGGCGTCTGCAACATGTTTGCGGCTTCGCCACTATACACTATCATTAGCTGTATATTCTGGGAAAAGATATAAATAGCTGGCTAAACGTACTCGGAGTGGTTCTGAGGTAATTCGCCCAGGCTCTTGCCGCTGCGCCCGTGGTACTGGGTGAGGCCGAGTTTGTGCCCATACCTGTCGAGAAGAGAATCCATTGCCCCTGGACTTGAGATTTGCGCAGCCAAGGCCTGCGTAGAGGCAAGCCGCAAAACGAAGCTGCATTACCAGTATCAACTCGCGTAAAACTGCTTCACAGTGACTTTAACTCCATGGATTATAAGTGATCCCGCGACCCGAGTGCAGCATACTTGGTAGAGGTGATGAATTTCGTTTCTTGAGCTGAAATGTCACCAGACTGTCATGTGACACCGCGACCAGAAACCAAAGATGCATCAACAGCCCTTATATGATCAGATACACGAACCAGGTCTGTGCTTGGTAGAATCAAGAACTGACCATAAATCGAACGGCATGATTTGCTTTCTAATCAGGCTCACTTATCTGGATCCTCCCAACAACATGTCCCTGCAGACACCTAGCCTGTCCCTCGCCTCGACCAACAACTCAGTATCCGCCTCCTCCAGAATGCCCTCCATGGTCTCCAGTAGCTCGGGCAGTCCTTCGTGTAAGGTTGCAACTGTTGTCTCATCCAGATCCTGTAGGGCCGCCACCCCGGACAGGTACTCGGCCATCCGAGCATATGTACTCTGTGTCATTTGCGACGCTCTCAGCGGGAATCCCTTACCAGGAGGTCTGCCTACCGCCTGGACAAACGCCCAAATTACCAGGACCGAGTAGTACATTATCCAAGGGCGGTGGGGATCCGTCTCGTTTCGCATAAAATATTGGACCGCCGGGGAGTCTGGGTAGGGGGAATTCCTCCTTCTGGGATGGGGTTCAACCAGAACGCGGTACAGTAGTTTAAATGAATGCAAAATAGCATGCCGAGTAGACGATTGCTTCGCCCATGCACCCATACGCTTGACAGCATTGGTGTAGTCCCTCGTTGAGACCTTGCGGCCGAGTAGTCGCCGAGCACCCGCATACACTTGGCAGTCGATAATGTCCGCATGCAAACTAATATGCGCGAGGTGGAAAAGCAAAGAGGCGCTGTTGATGGGGCCGTTTGGGACTGGCCGATGGCCCGGTGCGTCGCTGACCGAGTCGGACATGGCAACGTCAAAAGATTCCTTCCAGCTGCCAAAAGCATTAAGAAGCATCTTGCGCCAGTTATCGTGTGTCTCGGCAGATGGACCACGAATGTCAAGCCACTTTAGGTGCGTTTCGCGGTGCGAGAGGTGCCAACTAACGCTGAGGAGGCCAGAGATGATAATCATGCGGCCAAAGGCATGCGTCCTGACTTCTTTGCCATGGAGGGCGGATTTGAGGCCGTCGAGGAAGGAGACTTGCTTGACGCCGTACATGCGGAAATTGGCATCAAGTTGACGAACGACATCAGGGCTGTTGGCCGTCCAGAGGTTGTCATCGCAGGGGAGCGGGAGGCGGATTTCGTGGGCTGCCATGTCAGCCGTATGACCAAACATGGCGGCGTGGATAATGTCCAACATGAAGGCGGCGAAGACGACGCGGTGCATGGATTCCGTTTCCGCCCATCGAACCCACCACGTGTTGGAGTCAAGGGCCATTCCCGGCGTCGGTGTAGGTCGGCCCGAACGGGTATCATCAGGTTCTCCCGGAGATTCACTGCCAGTTCTGCCTATCAGGGGGCTTCCTCTGCGTAGCAATGTTAGAAACGCGGGGTGATATATGTGTGCCCGTTCGTGCAATCGTCTTGTGCTATAGAGCTTTTCGTAGAACTCGAGAAGCAGTAATGCTTGAGCAACCCACAGCCCAACAGGGGGTGCAGAGTCGTCTGAAGTCAGAATTTCCCATCGCACGCTGCATATGATGACATCGGCAAAGGCACCGTACTCTTTTAATTGACCCGTTGTATCACGGCTTTTTAGCGAAGCGGCTCCTAGAGAAATCATGACGAGCAGCAGGAAGATTGGGCACCGATTTGGCGAGAAGGTGTGTTGGTGAACAATCGGAAGCCTCGGTGAGACGGTGTCCCAAAACTCCTTTAAGCAGTCCCTGATCATGTCGAGGTTGAGAGCCGGTAAATCGCCACCGCTCTCCTGGACCAGGTTTGGCATTAGGCATTCATACTTGGGTTGCTTTTTCCGAAAAAGCTGAAGCCAGCAGAGCAAGTCTTGTCGGCGTGACTCCGTTATCCATTCGTCCAGCATGTCGCCATGACGGTTTGTATCGTCCAATGGAGACAGACTGGTTAATGACTCGTAGTCGTAATGGATATTGTTATTAAATGTCGACTCTAGTCCGCCTTCGAGGAATGGCAGACTCGCAACACTGAAATCGTTATATGATGTTTGCGGATCAAAGAGCCACGCCGCAAAGTTGCTCTGGGCCAACTGGTCATCAGCGCCATATCCAACATTGTCAAATGCCACCATGGCAGTTGGTTCAGCGAGACCAGGGGCTTCTGACCCGTAGAAACTCTGTCTGTGCGTGATGGGCGGTTGGGGGGGAACACTCTCGTGAATAGGTGATGTCCATGGCGCCTGCGATTGGCTTTGTCTATTTGTGATGTGAGAATGTGGTAGGGAGGTAGGTGTTGGTTCAGTGTTAGATTCGGGCGTCAGCAGAATGGCTGCGTCGTGTGGTCCGGTTGTAACGGGGTGATGACTGAAACGGTGGCGGCCAGCAGCATTGTGATGTACCTTTGCTCTGTTTGGCGGCGCCGTGTGATTTCGAACTGTGTCAAAGCTGGGAATCCTGTTTCGGGGAGTGTACGAAGTAGTGTGCCGCTTCTTGTGACGGACCAGCAAGTCCAGGCGAACAAACTTCTGATCACAATCACCAATATCACACTTGAATATTTCCTTTGGGTTATCTATACTTTTGTCAGTCGCACAAAAAATGATAATAACAGTAGAACACCATAACAGTATCCATTCCGTGGGGTGCATCGCAGGGTCATGGCAGCTAAATTGGGGGTGTAGGCGTGGGGAAATGTCTTACGATTCAATTGATGGCGTTGCAAATGCTCGGCCCTTGAATAAATCTTGTCGCAACCTGGATATTCACAGGGGAAGCGTCTCGGGGCACCCTTGCGACTTGCACGCTTATATCCTCCACTGGTTGATATGGAACCCTTTAAAGGCGACATCTCTGGTGAGGCCATCCCCAGATGTTCGACTCGGCCGTCCTGCAGTGCAGCAGAAGCCGGCTCGGCATGCAGGAGAACCAAGACAATCCCGTCGAGATAAGCACCGCAATTGGCAACCCCAATCCAGAAACGTGCAGGAACGATGCAAGAATGAAGAAGCTTGGGGCAGAAGATGTTGTGTCAAGAGTCGGGTTCGGGCAGTATTGGCAGGCATTCGCGGGGTGTCACCGTCCCACGTTTTCTGGGGTGACCCCCACGTAGTCGACAATCCCCAGGAATAGACGGCAGGCGCGTCTCTTCGTTGAAAGGGGAAAAGGAGGTGGGGGCCGAGGCAACTAACTCAATGCCACCAATTTCGATTAAGGGGATTCCCCTCGCTCAGCAGGGTCCCCGGCCAAGGCCAGGAGAGATAGGCCGTTCCGGGTTGCTATCAGACACGGTGCGAGGCTAGGCCTCGTCCGAAGATAGAAATTATAACTTTGAAGTATTCTTTGGTCTGGAGCTTTTCAGAGGGAGGAGCTTGCCTCCCCTACTACTTAAGTATCCATGGTTCCCTTCGGGCATCGCCTGTCATGGATTCATGGCGACCAAATCAAGCGGCCACTATCCGATAGACTTGTTACATTACCACTCCGAGGTGAGGACACCACCTTACGAAACAGGTTTTCGCGAGAACTATTCGCCGCTTGCCAAAAGTCTGCATAGTCTACGGAATGTGCGATTAATAACACGCCAAGAGGGGATGGGCCAGTGCGCATATCCGTATAAACTGCTCAGGTCGTTGTCTCCTGCCAACAGTTCTATCCCGCTCTTGTTCCCCAAAGAAAATTTCAACTTCTGGTCCGTTTCCAGCCCGTGTCTAAATATTTTTCGGAGGATTTTCTGCATCTTCCCGTCGTCTCTTCCCGTGGCTGCTGCGTTCATCTGATTTTGCTGCTAGATCCTGGGGAAATGTAACGTATGTCTTCCCCTGGGGCGGATTGGGTCCGTCACCACCATCAGCCCCTGCTTTCTTCCTGTCGCAGTACCAAAATCTGAAAGAACCTTCCTTATTTTGGCGTCCATGTGATGTGAAAAGCCGCGTTACATTATGCAGCCTCTTCCTGCTCCTTATCATCTTCATCCCCGGCTAGCTCAATCGACTCGGCTGCATCGGCCAGACCGCTCTCCACGTTGTTGTTTTCAAGCATGCCAGCAGACTCTAGGAAATACTCGGCCACCTCCCGCTTATCGTTGAAATTGGCCAGGTCCAGCGGGACGTAATTTCTCTCATTTGCCAAGGCCGGCGAGGCACCATGGTCCATTAGAAGTTTGACGGTATCGAGATGGCCGCCAAGAGCTGCCCAGTGCAAGCCAGTGTTTCCGTGCTCGTTAGCTTCATCAATGAATGCCTGCTTTTCTTCTTTTGGCCTGCCATCGAAGCAACGAAGCAATTCCCGTGCAGTCTCTGGGGAACGACAGTTAGCGTTTCGTAATGCCAATCACGGAGAAATTCTAAGACCTCGTCATCAAGTCGGGGTCCTTCTTTCATTTCATTTCAACGTACCCAGGTGGCCATTCCCCGTTGCCATATGCAAGGCTGTTGATTTGCCTTCATCCTTGGCCGCAATCAGGATCTCGGCATGTGACACCTTCTCTCGCTCTGCTAGGGCGGCAAGAGACTCCTTCAGTTCATCACTCTCTCCAGCTCGGGCCAGGTAAATGAGATCATCGATCTCATCCTCCGATAGCGTCGGCGCCATGGTCAATTGTGCTGGATCAACGAGTGTGCAAAGGTTTCACAAAATTTTGTTTGCAGTGAGGGGACTGTGTGGTCTTTGCAGCCCCGCAGTTTTCGCACCGTAGGACCCAGCCAAGCCAGTCAGTTATCCAGCAACGTCGAAGAGTTTTTGCGGCAGGGTAGGAGGCAGGCACTGCACGCTCTTCCAGGTTAACATCAAAAGGCCAAAAGGCCAAAAAGGACCAGGTATTGCGAAACTAAAGCCGCTTGGTTCAACAGCTGTTACTAGTGCGCTACGAAGCATTCATCTCAATCTGGATTTGCGCATCCAGCCAACTGTCTAGGTTCCCCGAGTCATCCAAGAGCTGTATTTCTGCCTTGTATCCTAGCACTTGCATATACTGTAGCTCCCGCTTCAGCGATGCAATAGTGACACCGTCCTCTGTTTCAAATGCTTTGAGTGTGTCCACAATCATTTTTCGGTCTCTAAGTGTGAGGGCCACAGCAGCTGCACTATGGGCTGTGGATGAGATAATAGCTGATGTGCTACCCCATGCCGGAGAGGACTGACTGCTCCCACTATTGGAGGTGGTCTGTAGAACTGTGTCCATGGCTGCCAAGTGACTCGATCTAATGCCTAACCAGCTAACGGATGGGTTGTCAACAGTTGAATCCGTCAAGATATTACCCGATCCATGAAGATAGCAGTAGAAGATTTTGAGGCCGTCTGGATCAAAGTCTGTCAAAACAAAGATGGGTATGTTAGGCTGCCGCCTCCCCAGCAAGTGCAGAAACGACTGGGTAATCATGTCTGGATACCCTTTGGCCTACGACAATTAGTCATTCCAGTTTTGGACTGTTGGCGGTGTATTGGGTCAGGCACCGTTACTAGCAGTCCATTGCCACTGGCAGACGTTTCCCAGTAGAGCGTCGATGCGAGTGATCTGAACGTTGCCTAATTGCAGTCAGGGTTTTGGGTGTAGAGAGGAGATTTTATAAGCGATGACATACATCCTTTTCAATGACAAGAACCCACCGAAGTGACCCAGCATCAATACTCTGAATGGATCGGGAAGCTGGAATTACAACACCCTATCGCAGTTAGAGCAAGCCAAATCGACGCTGAGGATAGAAGTACCGTTTCGCTTGATGATGCATCTAATTCACCACCGTCGTTGAGGCGAATCTTCAGCGGTCCTGCCATGATACCCTTGGCTGAAGCGACCTGCTGCTGTCTCAGTCTCCCTGTGTGCAATGATTTGCTCGTACTAACAATGTTCAAGTCATCACGGTCTAGTTCGAGTGTCGTGGCTACATCATCGACTAACTCGTCGACCACCCGCTGCGTTCCAAACAGCTCCTGATGTTGATAGAAGATGTTGCTTTTTATTCGACATTAGCGTTTACGCAACGGCCTTGTAGTTTCGGCACGAACCGCTTTGTCAATACTGTGCCTGAAACGAGGGCATGATGGGATAACTGCAGAATCAAGAGAACACGAGCTAACGAGGGTGAGTCGTGAGCCAACCACAGTTTTCAGGGAGTTTAGATACCAAATCGCTGTGCTTCCTGAGCTGAGCGACCAGGGAACTGGATCTGTCTCAGAGGCACACGGCTTTGACGACGGCGTAGACCTCTGCGAGACGCGAGTGCAATACTCATTGGCTCATTGTGGAGCAGGCTGTTAATGACGGACTCGAAAACGCTTTCAATCCGTGATATCGCAGCGCCGGCATAATTCAAATGCTCCGTCGGAATAGAGCCAACGTGACTCGCTTGGTGACGGTTGGATGGCATCACAGGTGCATACGCAGCCTCCTTGCAGGGAGAAACGGTAAAGATCGACTTGATGTTGCCTGGTTCCAGGATGAGAGGGAACCTACTCTGTGCTCTGCAATGTGGCCTGATTTTGGTCATCTGCTCGTGCGGATCAAGAATAAGCCTTCAGATGCAGCAACAAAACAAGGGGCAGTCACGACGGCGCTTTGTATTGGTAATGCGGGAAGGCGGAACCCCAGAGAGCCGCGACGGCCCCGCACTAATTTACAGTACCACGGTAGCCATGGTCCATGGACTTGATCCCGTTAAAAGGTCGAGAGGTTCGTCTCCATTGCATTGCGTCCCACGATTTCCGCCGCCTCAGGAACGCGCTCTGCCTGCTTTCCACTGCAAGCGAACATGGCCACCGCGTCAGGTCGAGACATTGGATCCGCTAGGTTGCGCAAGAGGGCCAGCGACTCGGAGCTTGGGTTTCCAGAAAAGCCCAAGATCGAGGCCAAGACGGACCCAACACGATGGCGAATGAAGGATGATGACAGCCGCCACACATGGCATTACTTGGCAACCAAGAAGGCTGCTGAAGAATGGCCGCAGAGCTACGCGGAGAAGTATTATTTGGGCTTGCCCCTGGTAAGGGCTATCATACTCTCTGCCAGTGTTTTCCTGAGCACATGATATTGAGCTGACAACTAATGCCACAGGACTTGCCAGCACTTCCAAAGCCCGAAACGCCTCTGGACTCTGCCAAGAATGCGCTCGAATTCTTCCAAAAGCTCCAGCTGCCTTCAGGCCACTGGGGGTGCGAATACGGCGGACCAATGTTCCTCCTTGCTGGTATTGTTGTGGCTTGGTACGTCACCAAGACGCCGATTCCGTCAGCATACGCAACCGCCATAAGGGACTACCTCGCGGCACGAGCCCACCCTGAGGACGGCGGCTGGGGACTGCACATTGAAGGTGAAAGCACCGTATTTGGCATCACGCTCAACTATACCGTGTTGCGCTTGGTTGGCGTCGATCCCGAGGACCCTCTCATGGTGAAGGCTCGAGGTACCTTGCACAAGCTTGGAGGAGCTGTCAACTCACCACACTGGGGCAAATTCTGGTTGGCAACCTTGGGTGTAGTAAGCTGGGACATTGTCAATCCTGTCCCGCCCGAAATTTGGCTGCTCCCAGATTGGGTGCCCATTGCACCATGGAGATGGTGGATTCACATCCGAATGGTTTTCTTGCCAATGGGATACATCTACTCAAAGAGATGGAGCTGTGAGGAGACAGATGTAATCCGTGGTTTGAAGGAAGAGCTGTTTACACAGCCCCATACAGAGATTAACTGGGCTGCGCACCGAAACAGCATTGCACCTGGTGATAACTACCACCCAAAATCGTGGCTGCTCAACACTATGAATTGGTTGATTGTCAATGTCTGGAACCCATATCTGCGCACCAACTTCATCAAGGAGCGAGCCGAACAATGGGTCAGCCAGCAGGTAGACATGGAGGATGCTAACACGGGATACGCCGATCTTGCGCCTGTAAATGCGCCGATGAACACGATTGTATGCTATATCCGAGATGGGCCTGATGCGTTCAGCACAAAACGACACATTGAACGCTTGGATGAGTACCTGTGGGTCAATGATGAGGGCATGCTCTGCAACGGCACCAATGGCGTTCAATGCTGGGATACGGCCTTCTTGATCCAGGGCGTCTTCGAGGCAGGCCTGCAAAATGACGAGCGATGGCGCCCAATGCTAACCCGCGCCCTCGAGTATTTGGAACGTCAACAGATCCGCGAAAACTGCGTCGACCAAGAAAAATGCTATCGACAACCACGGAAGGGAGGCTGGCCCTTTAGCAACAGAGACCAAGGCTATGGTGTCAGTGACTGCATCTCCGAGGCCCTGAAGGCCATTATCCTGCTTCAAAAAGTCGGTGGATTCCCTGCAGTGCTAGGAGACCAGCGCATTTTTGACGCAGTCGACACGCTGCTGCTGTACCAGAATGATAATGGGGCTCTATCATCGTACGAGGCCCGACGAGCCGGCGAGTACATGGAAATGTTCAATGCCGCCGAGGTGTTTGGCAGGATCATGATCGAGTATGACTATCCCGAATGCACTACGGCGTGCGTCACTGCGCTTTCATTGTTCAGTAAGCATTGGCCGGACTACAGAAGCAAGGAAATCAAGATTTTCATCAACAGAGCAACCAACTGGATCAAAACAAACCAGCGGGTTGACGGTAGTTGGTATGGCAGCTGGGGCATCTGTTTTACCTATGCGACCATGTTTGCACTCGAAAGCATGGCCAGCATTGGCGAGACATACTCCAATAGCAAGATTTCTCGGCGCGGCTGCGACTTTCTCATCTCCAAACAGAGAGAGGATGGCGGCTGGTCTGAAAGCTACAAGGTGCGTAACGAACGGCTTCACCATGGAAAAAAGTGCGATGCTAACTGCGGATAGGCTTGCGAAACGATGGAGTACCACGAACACCCCATGGGTTCCCTGGTGGTCCAAACTGCATTCGCGTTGATTGGTCTACTTGAAGCTGATTACCCTCATATTGAACCCTTGAAGAAGGGCATCAAATTGATCATGGAACGACAGCAAGAAAACGGGGAATGGCTCCAGGAAGCCATCGAGGGCGTTTTCAACAAGTCATGCATGATTTCGTACCCCAACTACAAGTTTACGTTTACGTTGAAGGCGTTGGGGTTGTTTGCGAAAAGGTATCCTGAAATCAAGGTGGAATTAAAATGACTGGTGCAGAAAAACTAGCTACTTAATGCGATAATATGTAATACGAATACAATGTCAGTTCCCGTTTGGGCTTGTACTAGCATTCTGAGTGTTCTTTTTGTCTGACGATGACAGACCCACACTTACTAGAGCACTAGTACGTACTCCGTACGTTACGTGTGAAGTCTGGTTGGCACCTTTCGCCCCACTCTTTTTGCTCGCCCTTCACACCTTGTAGTTGCAAGGCCCGAGGGTGCCTTGGTTGTAGTTAGGCAAACACAACCACAATCATTCATCTTTGTCTTGAGCCGCCTCCCACATCACTGCATTAAAGATACCCTTGCATCAAATTTCTTACTTTACCAACACAGCCAGTCTCCGTCTCTCTCTCTCGCATATCAGAACCGTCACGATGTCACACATCACCCAGGCCAACCAAGGCCTGGCTGCAGCCGAAGCCCAAAACTGGGATGAGGCCATCACCAAGCTCTCCAAAGCTCTACAGACCTCCACCAACCCAGCATGGCTCCTCGCGCGGTCCAAAGCTCTCATCAACGTCAAACGCTATGAGGAAGCCCTCGACGACGCCAACCTTGCCTTCCACACAGCTTATGAGCGAAACAAGCGAGACTTGATAATTGACGCCCACTACCGTCGAGCAGTAGCCTACTACCGCCTGGGGCAGTACGCCAATGCCGACTGCTGTGCCATCTATGCCATGCGTCTGGTTAAGGGTCATGCTGCACTGGACAAGGAGGATGTCAGGGCCGCCAATTCTGACCACGACGGGTTCTGGAAACCAACTGCCGCGGACGCAATGGCGGAAGCTCGCGAGGACCCCTTCAACCAGACGAAGCCGGAGGGAGCAATGTCTGCTCAACCGGCACATGTCGGTGACTGGCGGCGAGCAAGCACCCTTCGTATTCAGGCCCTCACTGCCATGAAGAAGCTGCCTGCTGATGACGAGGCCCGGAAGGCCACGGCCCATTTGGTGCCAGAGCGCAAGGAGCTTTCCACTTTGAAGGCGGGCGACAAGGACACGGAGAACACAAAGAAGAGTGAGGTTGCAGCACAGAAACCCGCCACCCCTAGCGATACCCCTCTTCGTTTGCAGGACTTCCAAACCAACACCGTCATGTCCGTGTCCATCTTCAGCAAGGGCGTCGACAAGGAGAAGCTCCAGGTAAAGTTTCTCCCAGAGTCCGTCCATTTAAACCCTCTGGTCTACCCCAACGGCGACGAGAAAGAATTCCTGCTCCAAACATTTGCCGAAATCGAGCCATCTAGCTCGGGGTACACCGTCACTCCCAGCAAAGTCGAGCTACGCCTAGTCAAAAAGTTGCCGGGAAAGTGGTCACAAGTCACAAAGGAGTCGCCAGGGACCAAGGAAGCCACAGAGAAGGACGAGGAGTATGTTGTACCTGTTCCCCCACCCCCGGTGCTGCTCTCTCGTGAACATGAAAGCTAAAAAATGGACGGCGTTTAGGTTACAAGCCCTCAAAGACGCCAGACGGCGGGCCATGGACGAGGCAGATGCCAAAACCAAGGATGAGAAACCTGTAGCGACGGCTGCCCAACCTGAAGCCAACAAGGTCAAAGCCACGACTGGTGCTGGCCCCGCCTACCCGTCTTCGTCTCGCACTGGTCCCAAGAATTGGGACAAAATCGGAGCGGATGAGGACGAGGAAGAAGAGGCTGGTGTGAATGACTTCTTTAAGAAGCTGTACAAGGATGCGACCCCAGAACAGCAGAGGGCCATGATGAAGAGCTTCGTTGAGAGCAACGGCACGAGTTTAAGCACGGACTGGAATGATGTCGGGAGCCGGACGGTAGAGACGGTTCCTCCAGAGGGGGTTGAGGCGAAGAAGTGGTAATTGCAAAGGAGCAGATATGTTGGAGAAAATACGAGGGAAAAAATAATAAGGAAGAAGAAAGGAAAGCAATGACGGGGGCGTGGATTGCTGAGGTGCTAGTAGTTGCCTGGTTTCACAATTTATGCAGTCAATGAGTTATGATGTTGATCAAATACATATAATATCACTTCATTGTCCAAGAGCCTCCTGCCTTTCCGCTTTTACTAAAAGTATCCCTGGAACTGACGTGCGTAAGAAAGAATGGACTTTTTTTTAAGGGGGACTCTATTTATTATGTTGGTGTGTAAATACTAGGGTTCTACCTATGGATGTTTCTATACTGCTCTTTCGTCTAGGATTCATGTGAGGCTTGATCATCATACTGTGTCTATACTGCCGTGACAGCCATTTATGCCCGCATACAGCACGAGCCCCAATCTTCTTCACGACAAGGGGCCATCAAAAAAGCGTCAGCATGGCCCGTCAACCTCCTTCACCCTCCTCACCACGTCCTGCCACCACTCACTGCGGCGCAACTCCCAGTCGCCGCTCCACTCCTCACTGGTGCCCCTGTACATCTCGGCCTGGCCCTCGGGGATATACGCGGCCCTGCTCAAAAAGTCCTCCTTGGCAATGTAGGCGCCGCGCAGCCAGCGCGACCCGCCGCGGCCGGCGTCAAACGCCGTCCGCCCGTGCATGGTGCGCAGGTTGTCGAACAGCACGCACTCGCCCGGCTCCATCTTGTAGCTGTGCACGGCGGCGGCGTCGTTGACCAGGCCCTCGAACACGCGCGCGGCCTCGATCCAGCCCGTCAGGTCCCGCGCCGCGCCGCCCTCGGCGTGGCCGTCCGTGTAGCCGCCCTGGAACGGCGGCGACCAGTACACGCCCGCGAAGCCGCCGTCGTCGCCCACGTCCACCACGGGCCGGTCGGCGTGGTAGAAGTGCCCGTGCTTGTCGTACTGGTAGGGCACCTTGTGCTGCGCCAGGCTGGCCATCTTGCTGCCGCTGGCGGCGACAAACGGCCACAGGAGGCGGCCGACGCGCTCGCCATCGCTGAAGAGCGACTCGCCGCCCGAGCACGAGTTGTCCATGCAGTGCAGCACCTGGATCATGGGCGGCGGCTGCAGGTAGCACAGGTCCTGGTGCAGGCCGAGGTAGCCGCTCGTGTAGGCGACGTTTTCGGCGTTGGGCTTGGCGCGCACGTCAAACGTCCGGCCGTAGAAGGTTTCGCGGATGTTGGCGATGCGCGTCGTGACGTACACGACGGACGCCTCGTCGCGCGGCACGTTCTTCAGGTAGACGATGCCCAGGCGGCAGATGTCGATGACGGCGTCCCAGAAGCGGCTGCCGCCTTGCATGAACTCGGCGTAGTCTATCTTGCGGACGAGCTTGCCCAGGGTGGCGGCGTCCCAGTACTGGACGCCTGTGCGGCGGAGAATGCTGCTCTTCGAGGCTGGGGAGGTTCGCTTGAGGGAGGAGCCGAGTTGGTGCCAGGGGAGGATCATCTCGTGGCCTGGGTATCGGGGGATGTCGTTGGAGAAGCTGATGGCTAGGCCCGAGTCGGTCGGCCGGACGGACGAAATGCCCACGTTGGGGGGGATCTCGATGCTCGCAAAGCTCTTCTGTCCGGACGAGGGGTCTTTGCATGCTGAGCAGGTACAGCTATCTCGGAGGGTAGCGGGTCTCAGAGCCCTCGGCGCCGCATCAGGTCCATCTTGGACGAAGAGGAGCTCGTCTGTCCAGGAGATTGTGACGGGGTCAGAGGCTTCAGGGTCGTAGATGAGCTGGGGTGCGCCCTGGGGGATTTCGTATTTGGGCCCGTACTTGGATGGTGAGGGAGCGGTGGCGTGAGTGACTTGGCCGGAAGGCAGGGTGAGTTTCTTGCTGCGTGAGCATGTGTTGTGGATGTTGTGGAGGAGTCGAGCTGAGAGTCGCGAGAGATGCGAGTGTTTGGTGCCGCGGATGGCGGCTCGTGGTGCCAGCATAACCAATTGGCGTTTTTCTGTCAAGGTTACCAGGCAGAGTGAATTGGTGGTGCTGGTTGAGCTCTGTAGCTCGATGAGATGGAAGACTGAGGAGAGCAAGAAAGGTGGGCAGAAGGTTCAGCTCCTCTGCCGGTATTTTGCGCATCTTAGCCATCTTGCGCTTTTGTCGCCGTGCCCTCCATCCGGACCTCGGCGCATCGCTGCCCCACGGCCGCTAGACTGGAGCTCGGGGATGTGGAGGCAGGGGCCCAGAGTCGGGGAGGAGGCAGGGTCGAGGAAACCGCCAAACACTCATGTCGCGACTCGCACGTGAACCATCATGCCACATTGCCGCACATCATATGTTGCCTTGACTTGCTTTTCTTGCCCATTTTACATTGCTTTTATTGTTACATATTCACATGCTACCGGTTGCGATTGCTCGACCAGCGCTTCACCATCACCTCCCGTACCCTGTACAGGTGTAACGCCTCTGCGAACCCCGTCTCCAGCGCCGCATCAAACTTGGGCGGCGGCGGGATGTCCACGTACACTAGTACAAGACTCTTGATGACATGAGATAACACGCGGATAACGCTGTGCAGCCAGGCCCATGTCTTTTGCGGTCCCTGCTTCCCCCTATCCTTCCACCAGGCGTCAGAGTAGGACGGCACGATGATGAGTCCGAATTCTGCGTGGTCAAATACTGGTCCTCTGGTGTACAGAAGCCAATCGACGCCAAATTTTATGCCCGCTCGCGGCACCCAGCCAAGGGATCGGAAGTGATGATACACCGCGTAGTGCACCAGGAAGCCGTCGTCCGGCCCTAGGTCCGACTCGTCAGGGCCGCCAGTCCGAGGAGGAAAGTATGAATATTGTCGGAACAGGGTGAGCATTTCCTTGGCTGTGAGGCTTTTGCCGGACGCTGGGTCAGTGACAGAGAGTGCTCCGAAACCAAATGTGAGAAAAAAAGCTTCCTCAGGCATCAGCTGGAGGTGTTCTCTGTTTACAATGACGTCCTCCGACTCTTCTGCAGATAGCTTCTTGGCTTCCTCTGCCGTGCCAGGGCCATTGAGCGCTCCATTCAACAGCCGCTTGCCTTTGCCATTGAGGGAGTGATGCGGGCTGGGCGGGTCTGCCAAGTTAAATGTAGTCGATTCCACTTTGGGTGAGAAGCGGACACTCTTTTGGCGTTTCAACGTCTTGTCCTCTGCAGAGTCACTCGATGTTTCGGACGCTGGTGGGTGTGGTGTCTCAATGACACCAATGCCACTTGACTGACCCCTCACTTGAGGACTGCCGGCTACAAACGACGCCGTACTGACAACATTAGTGTCAACAATGCCATTGCCCGTCTCAAGAATGCTTGGCGGTGCAATATCCACTGGCAACGGTATCATCACTGCCTCCATTGCGGCTCGGACGGCAATAACTGTGTCACTAACAAGCTCGGGCTTTTTGGAGGCTTCCGCAGCTGAATTGGGGAGAGAGAGCAGCTCTAGAGGGCCAGTAGGTGCAGCAAAAGCGACGGGGGACGGGGACGGCAGCAATGTTGCCGTCTTGGACTGGCTGTCAGCTTCGGCTTGTTGGGCCTCCTTCAACCGCGTCTGCCGTATGGACTCCTGTTCCAGTCTTGCTCTCTCCCATTTGGCTTGGGCTCGCTCTTCTCGCCTTTGCACAGTCAAGATCTCACTGACATGTGTTTTTTGCATCCCTCTACGGACTTGCTCCCGCTTCAACCAATTTGGCTCACTACGACTTAAGCTGCCCTTGCCGTAAAATCCTTGCTCCCACAGGGCTCTCATCGATTTTTCATCAGTGACATGGACGGAGAAGGTTTTCTTGGACCAAACACCTTGGTGGACGGCTGTCGGCTCAGCAGGAGGTGGGGCGAACACCTGCCGAAGCCATGCATAGGCAACGGCGAAGAATGATAAGGGATTATTGGGGTAGAAGGCTGGGAGAGGAAATGTCCGAATCGGGGCAGGGAGAGCATATATCTGATGGACAGAGGGACCCCGTTTTCGAGAGTCTGCGCTTTTGGTGCTGGCCTGCGCCGGAGAGGCCGTCACTTGGCCATCTTCTTTGGGGGGTTGTTGAATCTCAGCCATTTCGAGCTGGAATCATCTTGCTTGATCATGTTAGCGAATCTCATTAGATGTAACGAGATGACAGTAGAGCAAAAGGAGAAGGGGTGGTTAAAAAAATACTGCATCAGATACCGTTGTAGTCTATAATCAAGGGCAATCATCGAGGTCCAAGTGAATGGAGAGTTCCTCTAAGCACCGTAGGATAGTGTCATCATATAGCAGCGTGGACAGGGTTTGCGTAGGTCCAATTTCAAAAGAAAAGAAGGCGCATTTCACCATGGGAATGTGCCCATCGGCAGGTGAAGGCCGGGTTTCAGAGCCGCGACAGGATTGGCAAAGGCAAGACACTCGGATGAAATGGAAAAGGTCAAAACTTACTCTGTCTACCACATGGCCACGCAAGGCTGCTCGAATGAAAGACGGGCCAGTAGGACCATTCGTAGAGCAGACTGACCAAGCGGTGAAGGTTGCAGTGATGCAGGGCGGCCCTATTATGGACGTCTTTTTGTGGAAGAGACGATGGTGTCAAGATTGTGGTGTCGCAGGAAGAAGTGGAAGTTGAAATTTTATTGTCCGACCCCTTGGCTAAACTGCGGCTACCTGCTCCACTTGTTGTATCCGACTGATGGTGAGGGCCAAGCGCCGTCCACGCGTACTCTGTAGCGAGGTACTGGCGTTCAGCGGCACCGAGGACTTGGCACAGGAACCTCCAAGGCCAGGGAGCAGATGATAGGACAGTGGTGCTGCCAGGCACATGTCAAGTCAACTGGTCGTCAGTTCCTTGCACCATCATGATAGCAGTATTCCCATCTCCCTTCTACAGTGGCCCTGGGACCACGACGCCATACCCTTGCCATTAGCCCTCAGCCCTGGTCTAGTGCTCGGCAACACCCACGGACTGCTGGGGACCGGTACGGTGACGATTGTTGCCAGGGACCACACTTGAGCCGGCGCCGACGTGGAACTCGGTTGGTGATGAGGTCAAGTTTGTTTCTGGCGTCCGAGTAATTACTACTTCACCCTGCAAGTTGCACATGTGGTGGCCCCTCGGCGGCGACGGAACAACCCAACGACGACACTTCCCAAAGTTGGAATGCACTCACCCACCCTCCTTGGTCCTGTGCTCCTACGCTCTTGCTTCACGTCACTGCTCGGGCATTAATTTTAATTTATTTCCTCCTTTCCGCTTTTCCTCCTTTTCTTTTCCTTCTTCTTCTTCTTCCACCTCCATCAACCACCGCTATCAGGCTGGACATCTGCAACGCACCCGCCACCCATTCTCGGCGTCGAGACCTCCCTCAAGGACACGCCATGCTTTCTGAGCACGCTTTGAAATGGGATCCTTCGTCGAGATTGTTGCCGTAATCTGTCTCATCTGGGCCGTCGCAGTCGTGGTTGTCCAGGGAATTGGTATTGCCGCAATGTAAGCCTGGTTCCAAGTCCCAGGTCCCATCGACACATAGGGGGGTTGGCAACGCGAATTTGCCAGCATACTAACGCCCTTTGCCGCAGTTTTCGACACTTTTCAAGAGCAGCATCGCCGTCCGTCTCCTCAAGACTCGCCCAAGATGCTCCTCCGATTACTATAATACGCCCCGTCAAAGGCCTCGAACCTCGACTCTACGAATGCATAGCATCTACATTCCAACAAGACTATCCCGCTGATAAACTGTCCGTCCGCCTGTGTGTTGAAGACGAGACTGATCCTGCCTATCCGGTATTGCAGAAGCTAGTCCACGACTTTCCATCCTTCGATGCCCAGGTTCTTGTAGAATCTCGCGACCCAATCCTGCATGGCACAAAGGGCCATGTTGACAACTTGGGCCCAAATCCCAAGGTGCGCAATATCAGCAGGGCATACCGAGAAGCCAAGGAGGGGGACATTATATGGATAATCGACTGTAATGTCTGGGTGGCAAGCGGTGTGCTCGGGCGCATGGTGGACAAGTTAATGGGATACGGACCGGCCGGAACCTCGACAACGCCCTATAAATTTGTTCACCAGATGCCACTAGTTGTTGACGTGGTGGATTACAGCCGTCCGGGGACCGAAGACAGCCAAGTGCTCTTGTCGTCGCCCTCAGAAGCTGGGGCTTCCCCCGGCACCGCGCAAGAATTCGAAGACCTCCTTACCCGCATTTTTCGTCACGGAGGTGGTCGTCTTGACGAGATGTTCATGGCAACCACGCATGTCAAGTTCTATGGCGCCATCAATTCTGTTGGTATTGTACCCTGTATTGTAGGGAAAAGCAACATGTTTCGAAAAGCGCATCTCGATCGGGTGACGACGGAATCGAGAAATCGCATGCTACGCCACGGAGACGAAAAACCAAAGGGGGTGGACTATTTTTCCTACAACATCTGCGAAGATCACCTCATTGGCGATATACTGTGGAGGTCAGCCATTCCAGGCTACTCGAATCATGGAATTGTCTGGGGTGATTTGGTCATACAACCCATGGCAGGCATGTCGATTGTCTCGTATGCCGCCCGTCGTGTTCGATGGCTACGAGCAAGAAAGTTCACAGTGCTGGCGGCCACGCTGGTGGAACCGGGCATCGAATGCTTCCTCTGCTGCGCCTACTTTGCCTTTGCCCTCACCACGCTTCCCTGGTTCCACAAGACGTTACACATCCCGCAGACCATGTCAGCCATGGCCCTGATCTGGCTCTTGGCGGCGACGGCGTGGATGCTGGTCGACTGGCAGACATTCAAGCTCCTACACTCGGGCTGGAGCGTGCGGTGCGGCCGTGATAGTCCCCAATTTGTCCGTGGCACATCACAGGCCGGTGGAATGCCCAGACGAGGATTCTGGGAATGGCTTCTGGCATGGATTGGAAGAGAAAGCCTGGCATTGCCGGTTTGGACGTGGGCTGTTTTATGCGGAACGACGGTAACATGGCGAGGCAAGTCTTTCCGAGTCAACATGGACACGTCGGTGGTTGAGGTGGCAGGAGGCGTGACGAGGAAGAGCTCACGCACGCCAGAGTTGGAGAGGTCGAGACAATCGAGCAAAGATCGGTTGGACTAGATGCTCATGGTGACGTTTGATTCTTGTCATTATTACCTACTATTGTTACTTATTACGCCTATGTGCTGTAATGACTACAAGGCATATTAATATCAGCCCAAGCAACACGGTATCAATGAGGAAGGTCCCAAGTCAAGCATTCATGGTGGATTCGTTCCTGGCCCATCATGTCCTGTCCCAGAGCTGTGGTTGGCCCCCGGCCGTAATGGCAACGGGCGTGCAATCAATCAGCGTAGACAGCATGATGGGAGGTCAAGGCCATTTCGTCAAGACCAACGACACGATATGGCTGCGTCCTGATTTTGATGGGTGAAGAGGCACCAACAGCTGGATACCAGACAGAGCAGCATAGCTCTTGGACTTGATGGCATCCTTTTGCTCCCCCGGCTTGATTTCCCCGCACATGGGCAGCCCCCAGCTGCAGGCTCGAGTGCGGATTAGGCAAGTCGGAGGGCTTGTGGCATGCAGGAAGACGCCCGGTGGTTTGCCGATCTTGCCAAATGTCGTTTTTTTCTTGCTTTTTCTTGCTCACAGTCAGCCATCATGGTGTATTGTGTATTGTGTCGTGTTGGAGGGGATTGCGGCGGCGAATAGCGATGCTCGATGATGCTGGATAATACTGGTCTGGTTGGACGATGCGCAAGGATGACGGTCGTGCCGCGGGGGAAACGAGACGAAAGACGTGACGGCGACGACGAAACGGGGTCCCCTGGCTTCGCTGGGCTTTTTTTTACGTCGGCGGCCGGCGGGTGGCTTTTTGGTGGTGGATTTGTGCCGTTTTGGCGCGGCGCCACCTTTTGGCTGAACGGTCTCTGTTCTGCGGGCTGTGAGAACATATCATGGATGCTTCTACGGGGCAGCAGGTGTCACGTCTGCGGAGGATATCTCGCGCTGGGCCTTTCCGGAACATGGTCACGGGTTGAGCCGATGTAACCGTGGAGCAGCCGAAACAACAACTACAGATGTACTTACACACGACACAACGACCAACAGAAAAGAGGGGGAACATGCTCGATTCGGAACGACGCCGAACTCGCCGTTTGGAGAAACACCTGACTGATCTGATTATTCGGCCCTGGGCATTGTTCCCCCGCAAGTTTGTACGACGGGGTCCCGTTCGGAGCACGCGAGCAGACGCGCAGACTAGCCAGACTATCTGATGCGGAGTCTGTGAGACAAGAGACATTGCCGTTTTGCAGCAAGGCATTTTGTTCCGCATATTTGAAGAATGGCCCCGGCCAACAAAAAAGAAGAAAAGGTCCCCGGGGAGGTTCTTTCCCCGGACCAAGGGACTCTCACTTGCACGATATATTCCACGCGCCATCATCCAGCCATCTTTGGAACACGGCCAAGAATAACGTACATGGTCGGCGCAGACGCATAAAACAGACATGGCGGCGGAAGAAGAAAAGGCAGCCGTCGTCCAAACGCACGTCTCCCTGCCGTCCGGCGACGCTGAGAAGAACCCGGGCGCGTCCTCGACGCTCAACTATGGCGACCAGATCCCGGCGGAGCTGCTCGAGACGCTGGCGCCCAACGGCGAGGCCGACTTCATCCTGGACAAGATCAACTCGATGCCCGAGGAGGAGGCGCTGGCCATTGTCGCCGAGTCGCTGGCCTTCCACGCCGACGACTGGAACTTCCCGTCCGACATGAGGGAGCGCATGAGCCGCCTGCTGCGCCTGGGGCCCAAGGGCTACGGCGACTTGTACGGCCGCGACCTGCGCGTCGACGCCGTCATGATGAAGTGGTCCAGCCCGTATCCCGGCGTGCGCGCCGTTGCGAGCCCCCTCGACGACCCTGAGGTGCCCATTGAGACGGCGAGGGCGTACTTTTTGGGCATTGGGTGGGCGGTGGTTGGGACCTTTATGTCGACGTTTTTCAACAGTCGCTTTCCGGGGATTAGTACGTTGGCTTCTTTTCTTTTTTCCCTTTTCGTCTTGTATACGAGATGAGCTTCTTGCCTAAAATCTGCTTCCTCATCATCATC